CCCCCCAGCGGCTCTCGTGGCGCGGGAGCACGCGCTAATTAGTCAGCGTGGTGTTAATTGGGGGCTGAGGAGCTCCCTGCCCTCGCACCCGGTTCCCATGCGCTCGGTGGGGGGGCTGGGAGTGGGGAAGGGGGGGTCCATCCGTCCCGTTTTCCCGGCACGGCCAACCCGGGAAGGGTCCCTTGGGATCTGCCAGGGTTGGACTCGACTGTGGAGCGTGGAAATAAAAACGTCTTTGTCCGTTTCTACGTCCCTGCTGCCCCAAATTCCTGCCTCCAGCCCTGAGAGGAACCTGCTTCTAAACCCCTTCTGAAAACTGGGAATGCAGGAGCTGGATCTCCACAAAATCCATTGGATATTTGCTCAGGGAATCAGTCACGGGGCTGATTTCAGCCCGATCCTGGCACAGGGAGCACCAAGAATAAAAACTGCTCAAGAAACTCAAGGTGGCTTGGAGGGATCTGGTCTCATGACTCTTCTTTTTCCTCCTCTCCTCCCCTTTTCCTACCCCTTTCCCTGTTTTCTCCCTCAGCTGGTGAACACCTTCTTCAGCTTCCTGAGGAGGAAAACTGATTTTTTCACTGGTGGAGAAGATGGAGTAGCAGAAAAGGTAAAAAAACCCAAAACAACAACCTAAATCCTCAAGCATTGATGTCTTCTCACTGTCATGCCAGCCAGGCCTGTGCCAAGAATTCCCTGCCTGGACATCTCAGAGCATGAGGGGAGACCTGGGGACCTGCAGCCCCTAATGCTGCTGGAATTAGTCACTGAAATGAGAGGCTTGATTGATGATAATGATGGAATTAATAGAATCATGGGATGGTTTTGGGTTGGACCTTAAAGATGGTCTAGATCCAACCCCCTGCATGGGCAGGGACACCTCCCACCAGCCCAGGCTGCTCCAAGCCCCATCCAACCTGCCCTTCAACACTGCCAGGGATGGGGCAGCCACAGCTTCCCTGGGCAACCTGGGCCAGGCTCTCACCACCCTCACACCCAACAATTTCCTCCTCATGTCCAACCTCAATCTCCCCTCTCCCACTTTTAATCCATGTCCTCTCCCTCCCTGCCTTTGTCCCAAGTCCCTCCCCAGCTTTCCTGGAGCCCCTTCAGGCACTGGAAGGTGCTCTAAGGTCTCCCTGGAGCCTTCTCTTCTCCAGGCTGAACACCCCAACTCCCTCATCCACTCAAACAAGGCACTAACAAGCTGCCCCTGCCTGAGGTGAAGCTCCTTCTGGTGCCACCAAGGTTTTTTTGGCCACTCTCTGGCCAAAGGCTTGTTTGGACAGCAAACCTGCCAGCCCTGCTGACTGAACGGTGACAGACACCAGGGGGTGATAACCCCGGGTTACCTTGTTTGCTCACCTCAGAAAAAGCACAAAGTCCACATCCCTCCACATGCTGCACCTTCCCCTTGGGGCTGTGGTGTCTCTCCAGCTGAGGGGGCCACTCTGGGGGTCTGGGTGGGCAGCCTGAACATCTCCTGGCCTTCAGTTGTTCCTCACCCAGCTGGAGAGCTGAAAAACTAAATGGTTTCCCAGTCAGGAAATGGGAACCAAGGTGTTTAAACAGGAGCTGAAGGTTTTCTGGCTTCTACTTACCAGTACAGCAGCTGGTCCCCTTCCTGGATCCTGGAATTCCACTGGCAAAGCAGGTGTTGATGTCTCAGGGCAGGTGTTCACTGCCACCACAGCAGATCTCTCAAGTGGCAAAGCTGGAGGCAGGGAGGGATGGGACAGGGGGGGTTCAGAGGAAACCTGGGTCAGTTTTCTTAGGACTAGAGAGAGACAATTCCCCAAATTTCTAGGGACTTACTTCTTCCAGGGAGTGAAACCCTGGGCAGCACTTCAGAGACAAGCACTGGCTGGGGCTTTTGGAGCTCCTGGCAACTTCTGGGGGCAATTCCAGAGCAAATCCCTGTCTGTCCCTGTCAGAAGTGTTGGTTTCCTTCAGTGGTGTCTGTTCAAATGCTTGATGGCCTGAAACAGGGCTCAGAGCAGAGGCTGGGACAGCTGAGGAGCCACAGGAGAAAGGGAGGAAGCTGCTTCCACACCCTGCTCACCCTGTGGCATCAGGAGATGGAAGGGGGTGGGAAAGGCACCTTTCTGGGCTGTAGAACAAGGGGAGTGTGGTGGTACCTGGAGAGAGGGGGTTGTGGGGTCTGGAAGGGAAGCTGGAAGAGACAGCTTGGATCCTGTGTCCTGGGAGACACCCTGCATGGATCCTGTGTCCTGGGAGACACTCTGCATTGATCCTGTGTCCTGGGAGACACCCAGCTTGGATCCTGTGTCCTGGGAGACACCAGGCTCACCTTGTGTCAATAAATCTTGAGAACAAAGCAGAAATACCTGATGGTTGGTCACAAAACACAAAGTGTGAACTCTTAGAGTTGCTCTGGAAAGGTCCATCCATACATTTCCCATAAACCAGCCCCCCAAATCCCCAGCTGGAACCCACTCCACTCCCAATTCCTTCCCTCAGGTCCTGTCTGCACAGTTTCTGGAGCAGACTCCAGGTCTCATACGTGCTGCCCTGCACAGTGTCCCTGTGTTATCACCCCGGGGCCGTGGCTCTGGCTCCCTGCCTGTGTACTCAGCTTCCCTTTGCAACAGAGACCTTGGGAATTTGCTTCCCAGAGTCCCAACACCATGAGGATTTGCAGGGAGGTTGGAAGATTTACTGTGTCCAGGTCTGGAGCCACCAACATAAGGACATGGAGCTCCTGGAGAGAGCCCAGAGGAGCCACAGAGATGATCCAAGGGCTGGAGCAGCTCTGCTCTGGGGACAGGCTGGGAGAGCTGGGGGGTTCAGCCTGGAGAAGAGAAGGCTCCAGGGAGACCTTAGAGCACCTTCCAGTGCCTGAAGGGGCTCCAGGAAAGGTGGGGAGGGACTTGGGACAAGGGCAGGGAAGGAGAGGACAAGGGGGGATGGATTAAAAGTGGGAGAGGGGAGATTGAGGTTGGACATGAGGAGGAAATTCTTGGGCGTGAGGGTGGTGAGAGCCTGGCCCAGGTTGCCCAGGGAAGCTGTGGCTGCCCCATCCCTGGCAGTGTTGAAGGGCAGGGTGGATGGGGCTTGGAGCAACCTGGGCTGGTGGGAGGTGTCCCTGCCCATGCAGGGGGTGGGACTGGATGGTCTTTCAGGTCCCTTCCAACCCAAACCATTTCATGATTCTATGATTCTAAGATTTATGTAGGAACATGCCCCCCAGTGTAAAAAAAATGAGCTTTTCAAACATTTCTCCTCTAAATCTTCACATTGAATCCCTTGGGAAAAGGTCAGAAGAAAGTAAAAGGCCTTGGATTCAGTTGCTCCCTTCTCCCAGCTGTCCTGGAGGGGTGGAACAGCTGCCAAACAGCTGGGTTGGGGGTTCCTCATCCTGCTGGAACTGCACAACCAATAGAGAACCTTTCTTTTCCTGTTACCTCCCTGGAAATAACACTCCCCGTGTAAGGATGAACTAGGAAGGGCCACACTGGAATATTTTAAGTTCTCCATCAATTTTCAATCAACAGGTGGAAAAGTCACCTCTGTCCAACCAAGACTGCTCCTCAGCAGTGACTGGGCTTGGTTTGGGTTTGAAATTGATTTGTTTTAACCCCTTTTGGTCCTTCCAGCTGATCACAGATACCTTCAACCATCACAACAAGCTGGCTCAGAAGGAGAGGAAGGAGAAGAAGGCTCGTCAGGAGGCAGAGAAGAGGGAAAAGGCTGAGAGAGCTGCCAAACTTGCCAAGGAAAAGCAGGAAGCAAATGAGCCCAGGATTAAGGAGCTCACAGATGAGGAAGCTGAGAGGCTGCAACTGGAAATCGAGCAGGTGAGGGTGGTTTCTGGTGCCTGCAGGACCATCTGCTGGTCTGGAGCAGTGAGGGGTTAAAGGGGCTCAGATGTCTCCCTGGGGGGTCACCAGGCTGGGGAGCTTCAAGATCCAGTTTCCAGAATGGTTGGATTTTCTGACTGTAGCAACAGCATTTCTGCTGGCAGCAACCCCCTGTGCTGCAGCCCTCACAGTGTGGGGACCCAGGGATCTTCCCCTTGGCAGCAGCTCTTCCCTGGAATCCTAAGGGCTGAAAATTCCTTGTCATTCTCCCAACTCCTGCTCTTTCTTTCATAGAAACATTTTATGGAATGATTTGGGTGGGAAGGGACCTTAAAGCTCATCCAGTCCCACCCCCTGCATGGGCAGGGACACCTCCCACCAGCCCAGGCTGCTCCAAGCCCCATCCAACCTGCCCTTCAACACTGCCAGGGATGGGGCAGCCACAGCTTCCCTGGGCAACCTGGGCCAGGCTCTCACCACCCTCACACCCAACAATTTCCTCCTCACGAGGCCACCTAGTGTCACCTCAGCCAGTAACACCAAGTGCCACCACCTCGCTGAGCAAGTTCCTTCTCTTTTTCAGCAGAAGAAGGAGGTAGAAGGACAAGTGAACAACATCCCAGGGAAACCCTCAGAGGATGGAGGGGAATCTCCAGATTCTAACAAACAGGTAATCTCATCTAGAGGCTTTATTTTAGGACAATCTCTTTTTGAACAACCATAAGAACTCCCTGGGAATGTGAAAGGGTTTCCAGGCTGGTTATCCTTGAGAAAACACAATTCCCAAAGGTTTTCATGTGGATTTTTAAAGCTTTTTTCCTTGTAATGATGATTTAACAGAAACATATTTTCATTTTAGGTCTAAATTGCTGTGCATGTCAAATACATGCAACTGAGATTCTTATTCAGAACTGATAATAATAATGATGATGACATAGAATAGTAATGACATAAAATAGTAATGACATAAAATAATGATATAAGTGAAAGAAAAATGGAAACTTGACAAGCTTCTTTCCTTACCCTTTGAATTGGTTCCTTAGGAAACAGATGATGAAGAGGAAGATGAGAAGGACAAAGGAAAACTTAGACCCAACTCTGGCAATGGAGCTGACCTTCCAAATTACAGATGGACACAGACTCTTTCAGAACTGGATGTACGTTTTGCCAGGATTTGAGGAATCTCTGCTGGGAATAAGAGCAGGGGTGGTAGGAGCAGTGGAGGTGATCCCTTGGATCTCAGTTCCCTGGGGGATGTTGTATTTAACAGTGGGATTCCAGGAGCTGGGAGAGAGTTTGGTAATTAGATATAGTTCATAGAGTTGCAGACTGGTTTGGGTTGGAAGGACCTTAAAGCCCATCCAGTCCCACCCCCTGCATGGGCAGGGACACCTCCCACCAGCCCAGGTTGCTCCAAGCCCCATCCAACCTGCCCTTCAACACTGCCAGGGAGGGGGCAGCCACAGCTTCCCTGGGCAACCTGGGCCAGGCTCTCACCACCCTCACACCCAACAATTTCCTCCTCATGTCCAACCTCAATCTCCCCTCAGCCAGTTTCAATCCATCCCCCCTTGTCCTCTCCCTCCCTGCCCTTGTCCCAAGTCCCTCCCCAGCTTTCCTGGAGCCCCTTCAGGCACTGGAAGGTGCTCCAAGGTCTCCCTGGAGCCTTCTCTTCTCCAGGGTGAAGAACCCCTGGTGAAACCAGAGCAGAAGGTGTTAAACCAGGAGCTCAGGAGAGTAAGGAGAGGTTCAGCTCCTCAGTTTTTCTCTTTCTTCTCTAGCTGGCCATCCCTTTCAAGGTGAACTTCAGGCTGAAGGGGAAGGACATGGTTGTGGACATCCAGAGACGGCGCCTCAAGGTTGGCCTGAAGGGCCACTCTCCTGTCATTGATGGGGAGCTTTTCAATGAAGTGAAGGTGGAGGAGAGTTCCTGGCTGATTGAGGATGGGAAAACAGTCACTGTGCACCTGGAGAAGGTAAAGGAATCAGGGAAGAGTCAGACTTGTCTGTCTCCTGCTGGAACCAGTGTCTGGCAAATCCTCTGGAAGCCCTCTGGGCTTTGGCAGCTGGGACAGAACCACTGTGCTTATCCTTGGGACATCATCCATGATGTTATCCAGGATAACCTGATGCTCCTCTGGGATATCCAATCCATTGCTCAGCAGTTCAGGAAATGCTGGAAGGAAATCAGTCATTTCCAAGCTGTTCCTTAATGGAATGATGCCACGTTTTGACAGGAGAATCCAGGGATAGACCTTGTTACTTGTGTCTCTCCTGGGCTTCTCCAGGTGATTTGTTTGTCATCCCATTTATGTCGTGCCAGTCCTGGCAGCTGATGCTCCCAGATTTCCCAGCTGTGGAATTTCAGGATCTAGAAGATGGTTAGGAATGCAAGTTGTGCTCTTGATCCATGCTCAGATTTTACTGATGTTTAGAAAAGTGTCCCAAGTTTGATTCCAGCAGCTCTTTCCTGGCCCTGAGACATAAAATTCCCAGGATAAGCCCAGGAAAGAAAGAAAAATCTATTTTGCTTCTTCATCCCCCCAGATCAACAAGATGGAATGGTGGAACAAACTGGTCTCCACAGACCCAGAAATCAACACCAAGAAAATTAATCCAGAGAACTCCAAGGTAAGGAGATCTCCCTGGAATGGAACCTTCCCTTAAATGTGCTCAATGTCTCTGTTCTACCAGTGTAAAACCAATACTGGGAGTACTGGTGGGTGTAGAGTCATGGGATGGTTTGGGTTGGAAGGAACTTAAGATCGTCTAGATCCAACCTGCATGGGCAGGGACACCTCCCACCAGCCCAGGCTGCTCCAAGCCCCATCCAACCTGCCCTTCAACACTGCCAGGGATGGGGCAGCCACAGCTTCTCTGGGCAACCTGGGCCAGGGTCCTGACTTTGATCCAAGCCCTTCCTTTCAGTTGTCAGACCTGGACAGTGAGACCCGGAGCATGGTGGAGAAGATGATGTATGATCAACGGCAGAAATCCATGGGCCTGCCTACCTCTGATGAACAGAAGAAGCAAGACATCTTGAAAAAGTGTGTAACCTCCTTAATTTGTGGGTATTTGCTCTCCTGAGCCCCTCCCCTCTTCTTCTTGGATGGGAATATGTGACCAGAAACAGATTGGCCTTCAGTCATGGGATGCTTTGGGTTGGAAGGGACCCTAAAGGTCATCCAGTCCCACCCCCTGCATGGGCAGGGACACCTCCCACCAGCCCAGGTTGCTCCAAGCCCCATCCAACCTGCCCTTCAACACTGCCAGGGATGGGGCAGCCACAGCTTCCCTGGGCAACCTGGGCCAGGCTCTCACCACCCTCACAGGGAAGAATTCCCTCCTCATGTCCAACCTCAATCTCCCTCTCCCACTTTTAATCCATCCCCCCTTGTCCTCTCCCTCCCTGCCCTTGTCCCAAGCCCCTCCCCAGCTTTCCTGGAGCCTCTTCAGGCCCTGGAAGGTGCTCCAAGGTCTCCACGTCCTGTATTCACACCTAGAGAGTTACTGGCCAAGCACCAGCCTGTGGGGGTGCATAGTGGGGACTGGGGAGAACAACCTACCTCTGGAATTGTCTTAATCTGTTGGTTTCAAGTCCAAAAAGCACGTTTGGGACTGGAGGTCCCATCTCTGCTGAACTTTAACACGGTCTTGATTGTCCTCTAATCTCCTGGTAGCGCCGGTCGCCGTCCCTCCCTCCACACCTGCCCCAGGCAGCAGCTCCCAGCAGATTGTGCCTTTATGCCTTTATTGCCCTGTTTGGTAGGAGAGCACCTGGGCAGGGAAATGACTCAGGAGCTTCCAAGGCCGTTTGGGGAGGTGTGGAGGCAATTCTGTGTCACACAGCTTCTGCAGCTGGGGGTTATCTTGGGTTTGGAAGGATTGAGTCTGGCAGGGCTGGGTCCTTCTCTTCCTTGGCTTATCTGGAGCAGCAGGAGCTTCAGTCTGGTCAGATCTGGTGAAGGGTTCAACTGTTGAGAGACCACAGTTCCTTGGTTCCATTGAATTAGGAGAATGAGGGATAGTCCTTCCCTCCTGCAAAGGCCTCCTTGGGAAGGTCACTCATTCATAGAACCCCAGGCTGGTTTGGGTTGAAGAACCTTAAAGCTTATCCAGTTCCAAACCCCCTGCATGGGCAGGGACAGCTCCCACCAGCCCAGGTTGCTCCAAGCCCCATCCAACCTGCCCTTCAACACTGCCAGGGATGGGGCAGCCACAGCTTCCCTGGGCAACCTGGGCCAGGCTCTCACCACCCTCACACCCAACAATTTCCTCCTCATGTCCAACCTCAATCTCCCCTCTCCCACTTTTAATCCATCCCCCTTGTCCTCTCCTTCCCTGCTCTTGTCCCAAGTCCCTCCCCAGCTTTCCTGAAGCCCCTTCAGGTCCTGGATCAGATTGCACTTGAGGCTGAAACCAGTCTCACATCCTTCCTGAGTTCCCAGTGCCAGAGCACTGGAGAGATCCCCCCACATACCTAGGAACACTGAAGGTCACGGGTTTGAGTTCAGATTAATCTGCCCTCAGGATCTCCCCTCTGCCCCAGTGTCACTGCTACGTGTCTGCCCCAGAGGTAACAGTTACAGGGTGTGTGGCTGGTAATTAACAGCTCCCATGTGGCTGGGCTGCCTGGCCTTGATGGCTGGGAGGGTTCTTGATACCCCTGACCTGAGGAAAAAGTGGTTGTGGTGTGTAGAGTGTGTCCTCAGATGATCTTTGTTGCAGAGGCTCTGGGGAGGGAGCCAACTTCTCATGGCATCACAGGATGGCAGGGACCTCATGGATCATCTGGTCCAACATTTCTAAGTGCTAACACAGTTTCACTGGGGTGGCCCAGCACCCTGAGCAGCTGAGTTTTAAACCTGGGAACCACTGCTTCCCATGGGAGATTATTCCAATGTCTGGTCTCTTTTTCTGGAGTCCCATGGGATTCTCTCCAGGAGTAACTTGCACCCATTGCCCCCTGTCTTTTCCATGGGACTCCTTGTAAAAACACCCTGATGGTGGAGAAAGTGGGAATTCCTTCTCCCCCATCCCCAAAGCTGAGCTGTTTGGTGGCTCCTGCTGACTCACACCCACCTTCATGTCCTTGTTTTCCCCACAGGTTCATGGAGCAGCATCCAGAAATGGACTTTTCAAAGGCTAAATTCAACTGAGCCCTCCCTTCTCCTCCCCTCTCCCAGCCAGCCCACAGGATGGGGCAGGATTCCTGGTGCTGGATATGTTGGGATCCCTTCCCTTGGGCCAGGAAACACTTCCAGCATCCCCACCTGAGCTTGCTGCAGGAGCAGCTTCATGGAGTCATCTTCAGTTGTCCTGTGTGGAGCAGAGCGCAAGGCCATGGATTCAGCCTGGATCAGGAACCACCTGCAACACTTCCCAAAGGGCAGTTGGGAGGGAAGGAGGAGTTAGCACAGGGTGTTGGGGCTCCAGGAGCCAGGCTGGAGGGGCCTTGGGACATCCCTGATGGATCCCTTTCCTTCATCTCCTGGCTCTTCAGAGCTCCTCATCCACTCTTTGCTGTTTGGCAGGAGATACTCCTGAGTTTTTCACTCCCTTCCCCTTGGCTTTCCTGGGAAAACAAGGGCCAGTTTATGTCCTAAAAAAAATTCTCCTTTGGCCTCTTTGGGAAAACATCAGTCTTAAAATAAACCCACCCAAACCAAACCTGCTGCTGCAGTGGAGAGAGACCCTGCTCCTCCTTCCTGCTGCTTCCATTCAGGAACAGACTGAACCCTCAAGGGGAACCTCCAAACCTGCATGGAGAGGTTACCCTGGAGAGCCTGGGCAAGGGAGAAGATGAGGGATGGGTTTTGTTTTTTTTTTTTGGGTGGGGAGTGGATGTTGTTGCTGGGAGTGTGTCCTTCCTGCTTCTTTCCCAAGGTCCTCTCTCCCTGTTGGTTCCTGGTGGCTCCACCTCTGCATGGCCCCCCCGTGTGTGAAACCTGCAGTTCAACATAAAGGCAAAAGAGGCACCAGCCCAGCTGGAAGGTGTGGTTTCTCCTGCAGGAATGAGCCAAACTGGGTTGGGAGCTGGGAGGGGGCAGCACCTGCAAAGAAGGGTGATGGGGAAGTTGGGGTGAGGCTACCTGGGGATCATGGTCCCACCTGGAGAACTGTGTCCAGGTCTGGAGTCCCCAACATCAGGACATGGAGCTCCTGGAGAGAGGCCAGAGGAGCCACAGAGATGATGGGAGGGCTGGAGCAGCTCTGCTCTGGAGACAGGCTGGGAGAGCTGGGGTGTTCAGCCTGGAGAAGAGAAGGCTCCAGGGAGACCTTAGAGCACCTTCCAGTGCCTGAAGGGGCTCCAGGAAAGCTGGGGAGGAACTTGGGACAAGGGCAGGGAGGGAGAGGACAAGGGAAGGTGGATTAAAAGTGGGAGAGGGAGATTGAGGTTGGACATGAGGAGGGAATTCTTCCCTGTGAGGGTGGTGAGAGCCTGGCCCAGGTTGCCCGAGGAAGCTGTGGCTGCCCCATCCCTGGCAGTGTTGAAGGGCAGGTTGGATGGGGCTTGGAGCAACCTGGGCTGGTGGGAGGTGTCCCTGCCCATGCAGGGGGTTGGGACTGGATGATCTTTAAGGTCCTTCCAACCCAAACCAGTCTGGGATATGATATAAATACCTCTGGAGCTCCCTGCTGGGGATGGACATTGGCTCCCCAGCTCAGGAGATTCTTCAGGAGCTCCGTGTCTCCCTCAGGACAAACTCCAGGCCCAGCTCAGACACCCTGGGATGCCCCAGGCTCGTTGCTCCAGCCCCACGCGGCAGCGCGTGACGGGCCCGGGGGAGCCACCCTTGCCCCAGCTCAGCTTTATGACAGGCTAACAAGTGTCCCAGCAGCCCAGGCTCCTTGTCCCTCCTTTCCAGGCTACCCCAGATCTCTGCTCTGCTGGTTCTTGCCTCTGCCACCCTGGAATGTTTCCACCTCCTACCCGAGCGAATGGGCACCAACGGCTGGAAAACCTGCCTGGGCAAAGTCCAGCCTGGCCCTGCTGGCCTGGGTGTCAAGGGCTTTTTGAGTCATAGGACAAGGCTTGTATTTAGTGTCCCAGTTTTATAAGGTCTTGGGGTCAAAAACCAGCACCCAGCCAGGTGAGCACTTAGCTTCTGGGTGAGCAAGGTCCTGGGTCTGGGCTGGATCCTCCAGGCTCTTCATCTCAGCTCAACTGATGTGTCTGTTCTGGGGGTGTGATGAGCTTCACCCTGTTCTCAGCTGTGAGTGGGACTGGAAGAGGGAGACTGAGGTTGGACATGAGGGGGAAATTCTTTGGTGTGAGGGTGGTGAGAGCCTGGCCCAGGTTGCTCAGGGAAGCTGTGGCTGCCCCATCCCTGGCAGTGTTGAAGGGCAGGTTGGATGGGGCTTGGAGCAACCTGGGCTGGTGGGAGGTGTCCCTGCCCATGCAGGGGGTTGGGACTGGGTGATCTTTAAGGTTCCTTCAACCCAAACCAGTCTGGGACTCATTGCAGGAGGCAGGTTATGCTGGGAGAAGCCAGAGCTGAGCCAGAGGCAGGAACCCTGGGGGAAGCTGGGGCAGATGTTGTGGGGACTGAAGCAGTGAGACTGCCCTGCGGGAGGGGCAGGGCAGGGGCAGGGACAGGGGCAGGAGCAGGGGCAGGGGCAGGAGCAGGGGCAGGGGCAGGAGCACGGGCAGGGGCAGGAACAGGGTCAGGGGCAGGAACAGGGTCAGGGGCAGGAACA